GAAGAGCAGTGTTGCCAAGTTTTGAATTTGAAAAAGCACTAAAACCAAAGAAAAATCGTGTTTTTCCCCGAAAAAAGCACAAAATTTTTATTGGAGGATTTAATGTACTTTGTATGCATAAAAATTTGTTGTAGGTATTCCAATTCAAATAAGTAAAAATCAATAGGGCAATTTATATAAACGCGTAAATACGTCGTAACCATGTAAACCTCGTAAACTTACTTAATTTTGTATGGAAAATTGGTTTATTTGCGAAGTTTACGCAGTTACCAGGTATTTACGCATTTCTATGAATACCCATAATATTTCTTGCTCGGCGGTAGAATTCATTGTATTTTCTATAAATTCAAATATTTTCGTCCAAGCGACGTTAACATTTTCGTTTTCATTTTCTAATTTGCAGCTTTCTCCAGCGTTGCCGTTTCGCTTAGATTTAAGCAAAACTTATAAATTTTTTGCTGACAGTTTAAATATTAAATTTTTATTCGTTTCGCATTTTTATTTATTTTTTACAATTTTTATCAAACGATAGCAAAGCCAATAAATGAAGTTTCATGAGCCACGCGGATGTTTAACTCTACACTGCATGCTCTCGTTAACTAAAGGAACTACCGCTTTACACCTGAAACATAACGAAATTTGATTCCTCGTTTAATGTGTCTTATTTGAGCCTATTATCCACCGGCGCATAGTGGGAATAATTTGTTTGTCTAAAAAAAAGCCTCCTACTCTTCAAGTCTCACCCGATTTTGATTATTCTTTCTTTAAAGAATTCGTTATTAATTTTACTGTTAGGAAATTCTGGTGCATTTTTGCCTAGTCGTAAAAATACAACAAATTCAGCCCAAACTAAAGATCTAAAAATCGATTCCTGCAGTCTCCATTCGGCAAGCATAGACAAATTACCGAATGTAATTGGTGCCACATATTTTGTTGGAAAACATATGCTCTCTAGCTTATGATTGTTTTTGTCTCAAATTTTCTAAAGTTGCTTGCGAACTAACACTTGCTAAAAATTTAACTTCCATTTTTGTTTAAGATTTACAGATTTGGTGTCATCGAACTAAAACAAAAGCACTAAAAAGCGCACCGAGCACCAAACTCATAAATTTTCACTTTTTGAATAATGAAAAGCACAAAATTTACTGCAAGTTGGCAACAGTGTTGAACATATGATATGAAATTTTAGTTGAGAAAGAGAAGTACAACCAAAGGATTTCACAAAAATATATTGAAATATTACTATTTTTCAAAAGTATCATTTTGGCACCTTGTGCTAAATTGAAAAATTAAGTGCCATTAGTAGTAAAATAGGGCCAAAAATGGCACGGTTTTAGCCAAGTTGGCAGCCCTGATCGTATCAGTAAGCAGCAGAGGTGCTATAGCAAAACGATGTGTTGGAGCACACAATAAAATGCAGATGTTTCAGTAAGTTAACACCATATCCCCACCTTTCTTACCACTACCTACACATACATACATAAGTGCTACTTATGTGTATTGCTTTTGTTTGGTGGGCTATCTAATGGCACATTGCCATGGAGGCAGAGTAGCTAATGTGACGTAGCGACTATGACGTTACGTATAAAAACGTAAATAGGCAATAGTTGTTGGTTTTTTTGTTTTTTTTTTGCCTATTACGATTCATTTGTTCGATTCGCGTGGTGGACACTCTATTTGCTTGTTAGAATATTTGTATTTTTGCGTGCGCTATTGTGTTTTCGCGCACCTTGCATTTTTTTCTTTTCATTTGCGGACGCGTATACACCCACGCAAATTTTTAGTTAATATATGGAACATAATTATGTAAATACACAGACTTTTATGTACTACATGCATCCCTGTATCCACATCGAATATTATTAAAAAAAATATATATATTAACGGTGACACGCGTCTTGATGTTATAATACAAATGGTGGTACACTGAGAAAAGAGTTTAGTTACTTCAACTAAATATGTTTTTCTCAACACATGATTTAGTTATAGTCACATTATTTGGTTATAGTTACCAAATCATGTGTTGGTAGAAATATATTTGGCTGACTTTTTTCTGAGTGTACCTTAAATTTTACACCGCCTCCGAATGGCAAATTGATTTTATGAGAAGCTTTTTTCATGAAAGAAGTACACTCGGGGGTTTGCAATTTAGAAGAAATTTCATTATGTATTAAATCTCTAAAAAAATTCGTCCAAACTTTAAACTTTGTACAAAAATTTTGAAGAAAAAGTTTGGTCAAAATTTTCAACTTTTTAATCAGAAGTTTTAGTTAAATTTTCATACATATGTAGTTTGGTAGTCAGCTAAGTTTTAGTATTACATGGATTAGTAGTAGTGGTTGGTAAAAAAAGGCGAAATTTTTTGTGGAGTTATTCCTTTCCATTTAGCAATATACATTTTAATTATGAAACAAAACGGACTTTAAATACGGGTTTCTTAAAAATCCCGACTCCTGCGCGTTTAGCGGATTAAATCACCTTACATATTGCATTGTCATCGAGCTCTGAGCTAAGTTTGAGGTTGGCAAGATTCGAGTAAAACTTAATATAAGGTTATAAAATTTCGAAAATTTTTTAATTTTTATATAACTTGAATTTTTGTACAAAGTTTGAATTTTGGACTTAATCGTTTTTGTTAGATAATGAGCTATACTTTTATAAA